GTATTCTGAATCGCTATCTGTTGGTAGCAATTCAGAATACAAAGAATCTGTTATATAGATAAACTTTTTGTATTCACTACAATTACTTTCTGAAGAATTACTTTCTGAATGGGTAGAACTATCTTCTGATTCTCTATTATTAGATTTAAAAATAAATACAATTTTTTCTTCTTCATAGCCAATCATAACTATTGCTTTATTTCGTATTTTACCATAAAGCTCTGTATTATTAAATAATTCTGAATGAGACTTTTTAAAGTGATCTGACAAGTTTAAGATAACTGAAAAGCATCCATCAACAGGACAAGTTCTCATTTTTTTACGATAATGTATATTAGCATTGTTACTTTTGGAGTTTCGAAGTCTGAAAATAGATACTACTTTAGGAGCAGATTTTATCAACAAAAGATGATCACTTTTTTTAGATAATTTTATGTCTTGGCAAGTTAACAACCTTTGCCCCACACCCTGGAATAGGACACAACTTCTTATTTCTTTTTGGTTTTTCTGCACTTTTGTGTTTTGTTTTTTTATTGACTAACTGCGAGGAAGGTTTCTGAGTATCTTCTGAATGATGTTTTGTGTAGTTATTTTTAATGTTATTATTATTAACTATGATATGAATTTGAGAACCTATAAAAAATAATATAATAGATTTGAAAAAAAATTAGCAAAATAATTTAAATAAATAAAGATATGTAATAAAATATAACCTAATTTTGACGAAATTCTTTTAACTTCAGTTACATCTGCAACATCACATTTATGGTGAAATATATATTCTGAAACAATATATTTTGATAATCATTAAAAAACTTTTCTTTAAAAGAAATAATAATTGATATTACCCTCACATGCTTAATTCAATGGGGGTTAGGAATAAAAGGTAAAGGAGGAAGGGTGGTGGGAGAAGGAAATGGGAATTTTAACACGGTCTAATAAAGAAAGGGGAATTTTAATGAGAGAGTGGGTGAATTTTTCTTTACAAAACATGCATAAACAAGTTAATTGTGTGTGTTAATTGAGTGGCTTTCAATCAAATATTTTACAGCTGTTTAATAATTTCATTAGGATTTATTACGCTTATGTAAGTTAAATCTATGGTGAAAAATAAACGAAAAATTAATTTTAACATATATATATATATATATATATATATATATATATATATATATATATATATATATATATATATATATATATATATATATATATATATATATATATATATATATATATATATATATATAGAGAGAGAGAGAGAGAGAGAGAGAGAGAGAGAGAGAGAGAGAGAGAGAGAGAGAGAGAGAGAGAGAAATATCTTAAATTTTAAAGAGTACCTTTTATACAAGGATCATACTGAGCCCACTTCATTAAACGGCTATTCTCTAAGAGCCAAAAAATAATTTAGTCTTGTAATTTATTTGTGTTAAAAGGAAAAAAAAAAAACCTACTTTGTTGTTCTTTCTTTTGCAATGAATGTAAAAAAAAATTCTCAGCGCTAATCACTAGATAAAGAAAACAAATCTTGCTTCAGGAAAAATATTTCAGTTTAAAAAGAATCCAAATAGAATGAACTAAAATAAATAATTGTTAATGAAAAATTACATACCAGACCCATCATTTATACTACTTTCTGATTCTTGGTCCCTTTCATTAATTCTAAATATGATATAAATAAAACTATTAAAAAAAAAAATGAAAAGTTCATAATAACTAATACATAAAAAAAAATTATATATATATATATATATATATATATATATATATATATATATATATATATATATATATATATATATATATATATATATATATATATATATATATATATATATATATATATATATATATATTACCCTTTTGAAATGTAGAAATTTAATATGACTTCAGCCTAAACTAAGAAAAAAATTAAAAAAAAAACAACATAACACAACACAAAAACCTCTTCAAAAAAATAAATAAATAATAAATTACTTTGATTCTTGAAATCTGTTCAGTTTTAGCAAACAGATATGTTATTGCCTCAGGTACAAGTACTTTTAATACATAATCATTGAGCTGATAAAAAAGTAATAAAATTATTAGTTTAACTTGCACTGGTATAAATAACTCCATACTACCAAAAGTCCATTTTCGTACCAAAACCACTATTTTGTACCACTATTTTGTATTTTAAATTCTCTTTCATTTGATATAACACACAAATATAATAAATCAATTATTTATTAATGAGATAAGATTTATTTCTACTATTACACAAAAACTTATTTTTTTAACTATTACGCAAAAACTTATTTGTTCATTATCTCAAAATGATGTTTTTGGACTTGTATAACATTGATATATTACTGTTTTTACTTATATTACTGTTTTTAGCTAAAGTGCCAATGTTTATAATATAATATGATATTGCAACTTTAAGTTTCATGTGTTACTATAATCTTCAGGCAAGTAGTAAAAATTTAATTTGCTACTATATATGCACTATATAGAGCATGCTGTTGCTCATCAGACAACAAGTCAACCAAATTGATGTCACATAAATATCCTGAAACAATACATACTTGATCAAGTTTACTATAGTTTATAATTTTTAAAGCCAGTAAAAAATTAAAGGTTGAAGTATTTAATTATATAAACTTAAAGAAATTATTAGTAATAGTAAGAGCCCTCTTATTCTTACCCATTAAATATTTTATTCAATATAAGTATATAAATTTAAACAGTAAACTGTAATGTAGTAAAAATAAAAAAGTCTACTTTTTTCGTCTCTGCCAGCTTTGTATAGATTGTGTCTATAACTGTAAAGCTAGATAAAACATACAATTGTTAACAAAAAGATTTAAAATAGTGTTTAGTTTAAATATTAAAAAAATCCATTGATAGTTGTTTTGTTATTTTTATTTTTATGTTATGGTTATGCTGTTAAAAATGTAATAACAAAGATAACCTTTATAACTTTGCCTCATTTCAACAACTTAATACTTGAAAATATACTAAATAACTAACTTGACCATTGAAAACTGATTTTAGCAATGTTGATGAAGCTATTTCTCTCAGCTTTTCTGTTGAAAATTTTGAAATGCTAAATTATTAACTTTAAGATTATTAAATAAGTCTGCCTTTGTTATCAGTATAAAAAACAAAAACTTCGCTGTAAAAATTACTTTTATTAAATGCGCTCTTCGAATGACAACTACAAATAGAACAAAATTATAAATTTAAATAACTGTATAAATCATTACCTCTCCTAACAAATTCGTCAATATTAAGTATATTGTTTGAACAACCTTAAATACAAATTTCATATTGAGTAAGTTTTTTTTTGTAATAATTTATCAACATTTCAACGATATATATATATATATATATATATATATATATATATATATATATATATATATATATATATATATATATATATATATATATATATATATATATATATATATATATATATATATATATATATATATATATATATATATATACATATATATATATATTTAGATATATACATTTATACATTTAAATAGATATTAATTTATATAATGTAACTTGAAAAATATCTGTGTGTGAGAGTTTGTATGATAAATGTCTATTGAATATTTTTTAAATATTTTTCTTTTTAAAAATAAAATTATACTTACTTGCACACTCTTTGCAAATAGATTTATCATTTCCAAGTGTTAATCCATAACTTTGCACATCTTTTTTGTTACACAAAATACAATCTATTACAGATGACATTTTTATTTCTAAATTAGTAAACATTAGCAAAACACTTGTGGTAAAAATTTCATCTTTCAAAAATTATTTGAAATCCAAAATACTAACTAAAATTCAGTTAATGAATAACACTTTCATATTAAAAAAAAACCAAAAGAAATTCTAAAATCTTAAATCGATTTTGTATTATCACTTTCAAATTTTAGAAAAATGCCAGAAAGACTACTACAGGAAAATAAGTCTTGAATGTTTAAGCAAAAGTTCAACTGAGTTGTATCTTTGCTTAAGCTTTTATGAGTTGTAAACTCATTAAATGTTTTGTACAAGTACATAAATGGAAAAGTACTAAAGAGATTGTAAGTATATTGTGATTCCTGATATATCAAATGATACTGATGAATCAGCAATCATGATTTAGACTTTCTTAATGCTTTATACTGCTGTATGTAGTACAATATATACTACATACAAATTGTACAACAGTATATATCAAGTACAATATATATCAAACAATATATATCAAATTGTTGATAATTTATTTATGAAGACATATCTTTTTTAATATACATATTAAAAAATATTAAAGTAATAGTAGTAATTATTATCATATTAGTGTTCATATAAGTTTGTAAATTCATATAAATGCACACCACTAACAAAAAAACGGCTAAATTGAATTATATTTTTTTAGCCTAATTTTAATGGTAACAGCGTAATTATTTATAGAATTGCGACATGTAGCTTTTCTATTCTCGTGTAACATTTCTACCGGGTCGAGTAGCTTTTCTACCCAAAAAATGTACACTACTACTGCATATTAACTTCCATTGGAAAATTTTAAACTATTTCTGTCGGTTTCAAGTTTAATTAAACATCAAATATAATTTTATATTCAACAAATATAAATATAACATTTTTCAAAATAATTTAAAACATTTTCATTAACTTTATTAAATTATAAAATAATTTAAAACATTTCCATTAACTTTATTAAATTATAAAATAATTTAAAACATTTCCATTAACTTTGTTAAATTTAAAATAATTTAAAACATTTATATTAACTTTATTAAATTACAAAATAATTCATATTAAAATAGATGGTATTAAACTATTTAAAACTATATTTTAAGAAAAAAATTATTTATCTTAAAAAGTTTAATAGGTTCTTAAAAATAATTTTATTTAAATGTCATTTTTTTTATTTCACCTACAAAATTATTTCTTTTGACAAGTTTATTGTTTAACAATGTATTTATACTTCTTAGAATGGAGTTGGTCCCAAGCTTCAACGATACCTGAAGCTTAAAGCTCTTTGGTCACCTAATTATGTATGTATTATCTAATTTATTTTATATATTTTAAAATAATTAGTTGTTTTATCTTAGATATATACATATCTTTTTTATATAAACATACTATTTTTGTTAAAAATCTTTACATATATATATGTATATATATATATATATATATATATATATATATATATATATATATATATATATATATATATATATATATATATATATATATATATATATATATATATATATATATATATATATATATATATATATATATATATATATATATATATATATATATATATATATATATATATATATATGGCCTTCACGTGAGTCACAGGCCTTGTTCATCCACGTTTAAAATAATTTTTTTTAGACAAACTGACCACGGCAGTTCACATCTTTTAACTTAAAAAGCGTTGCAATAGTTCGCAGCAAAAAGCTAAACTTATTTACTGAAAAAAAACAAACAATTCTTTAATAAGGATACAAAATTGTAACAAAATATCAAGTTTAATTAAGTTAACGTTTAAAAAAAGTAATTAAAAATATATATATATTTTTGAAATTTTTATACAAATTTTTTATTAATTTTATATCGTTGTTTTTTATTAATTTTATATTGTTTTTTTAATTTTATATCGTTGTTTTTTATTAATTTTATATTGTTTTTTATTAATTTTATATCGTTGTTGAAAAAAATATTTCATAAAAATTTAACATTAATTGAAAGTTTTGATGTGCAATTTATTCATGATTTTTATCAGTTCATTTAATTAAGAAACTAATTTTCTATGTACACTAGAGCTATAAGAAATTTTGTTAATTTTTTTTTCTTACGGATATTTGTTTATTACGTTTATTCATTTTTATGTCTTTTCGCTTTTAAAAAAGTTTTTGCTATATTTGACGCTTTTTCTCAATACTTATTTAATTGGAAAATAAAAAAATTGTCATTTGTAAAAATTATTATTTGATTAATAAATTTTGTTAATAAGTTAAATAAAAAAATAACTTCTTTTATAAATTTTGTTAATTAGTTAAATAAAAAAATAACTTCTTTAATAAATTATTTACCGCATTTGATGCATATATGAAATTGTTTCATTTATATTGCCCAATTTCCAATGTTAGTACAAGTTACTAGAGATAATGAACATAACGATTTCTCTGTTTAAAAAAATGTACTTAAAAACTTAAACAAAAGTTTCAAATAGTTCCTAAAAATTTTGTTAAGAAGTTCAGTAAATTAACAATGCACTAACCCACAAAATTTTGCAGCACCCTTTCATTTTTTTGCATGAATAACTTTAAAAATTAAAAAATTTACATTTTTCACAAATAAATAGCAATTAGCTTTCTCGCTTTCCTGTTCATTGATAAAAACAGTAAAGTTTAGCAAAACATTTGAAAAACAAATTTAAAAACTGTCCGTGTTTCTAGCAGTAGAATAGACTTACTAAGACCCGTATTTTACAAGTCCAGACAGCTAGCAATAAAAATAAGGACTATTTGAAGTTTAATTTTACTTTTTTTAGATTATAACGATTTTTTATTAAAATTGCTAAATTTTTGCACACAACAGTATATATTATTAGTATTAGTATTAATAATTTTAGTTACGCACAAAAAAATTTTTATTCTCATCTTTGTGTAAAGCATCTCATCTGTTGCAAGAAACAATTTCAAATGCTAAAGAATGAGAAAGCTATAGTAACTTTAGGACTGCATTTTCAAGCCATTTTTGAAAGAGTTAGTGCTTTGCTGCATGAAAACATCATCTGGTAGTGAATTCCACATAGAAGCAACTCTATTGTTAAAGAAATGATACCGTTGAGCACAGTTCTTTATGATTTCTCTGCAATATTTTAACATTATTCAGCTTGTGGAGAAACATTCATAAATTCTTATGTTTATATAAATATATATATATATATATATATATAATATATATATATATATATATATATATATATATATATATATATATATATATATATAAATATATATATATATATATATATTATATATATATATATATATAAATATATATATATATATATATATATATATATATATATATATATATATATATATAAATATATATATATATATATATATATATATATATATATATATATATATATATATATATACACAGGCCTTGTTTGTCAGGCAAGTTTTTCTCAATGTACACATTTATATTGTTAAAAATTATGATAGTTGGGGCACTTTGTTGAGTAAAGGCTAGAAATGGTGTTTCAATAAAAATACTCACCTCAGACAGTTGTTAAATGCATCCAGCTACTGTCTTGTAGAAGGCCTCCTTCCTCTGCATTGTTTCCAATTTAGGATGTTGAATGCTGGATCTTCTTGACTCAATGCATGGGTTTTGCTTGTGTCTCTGTTTTTATGACTAAGCAATTCATTATATTATCTCTTAATGAGGTTACAGCTCTAAAACTCAGTTTTATGGTTCTGAGGCCTGCTGGTAATCAGGTTTCCTGAACTCTGTGATAGCTCTCAGAGAGACTGATTCCATCAACAGCTAAAAAATATCAGAGTTCTAAAAGTGCCATGTTGGGCATGGGTGGTGTCCTTGTTCGTACTTTTGGTGTGCATTGTCAAGGTCACATTTAGAGTCCTTTGTTATGGCTTAGGGTTTGTTAATAATAACAAGGCAGTTGCTTGGACTATTATATAGTGTACTGAGTACTATCTTAGCTTTGAGTCAAGATCTTTAACTAATATAAAAAATGACTAAATTATCAAAAATTATAAAACACAAAAAACCATCGTCATCGCCACATTTTCAAAATCAATCATTCACTAATATTCGTGGTCTTCAAAGTAATTTTTATCCTGTTGAGTTTGATCTCTTGCAAAGTCCACCTGTTCACCTACTTGCTCTTTGTGAGACTAACTTGAGTTCAGCTGTCTCATCTTGTGATTGTAGGGTTGATGGTTATCTTCCTTTAATTTGTAAAGACTCCAATAGTCACATGCTTGGCCTGGGCATTTACTCTAACACAAATAGTCAACTTTGCAACTTGCTTTCCAAACAATCCGAATCATTTACTCCCTACTCGACCTGTCTTGTTTCTGATCCTAGTCAGTGCTTAGTTTCTCAACATTCGCCTTTCTCAGTTTCTCCACATTCACCTAAAAGTTCAATCTGATCACGGTTTGTGATTTTCTTTGTGATGCCTCTTGGGTAGAAATCTTTCGTCTTCCTGCTGACAATTGTGCTTCTTTTGTAACTTCTTGGATTCAGACTGGCATGGAAACTTTTATTCCCTCTAGACAATTCCAAGTCAAGTCTCACTTCTCTCCATGGGTTTCCTTTTATTGTGGTGCTGCAATTTCCAATTATAACCATTATTTCCATATCTATTGCCAAAACATTTCTCGAGAAAACAGTTGTCTGTTTACTACTGCTAAAAGCCATTGTAAAAAGGTTTTGTCTAATTTCAAAGCCTGCTATTCTCAGGTCACAAAATCTTGTGTTTTATCTCAAAACTTAACCTCCGGAGACTTCTGGAGAATCTTTAACAGTGTCTATAATATGAGCAAATCTTTTATTGCACCTCTCTTGCATAGTTCAGATTTTGTTACCTCACCTAAAGTCAAAGCTGAATTGTTTGCTAAAAACTTTTCATCAATCTCATTTCTTGATTCCACTAATTACATCCTACCTGATATAGCTGACTAACAGGTTGATCCATTGCTCGATGTTTGTATCACTCATGCAATCCATTTTTGTATCACTCATGGTAGGCATGATGTTTGTATCACTCATGCTAGGCACTTTTGTTTATTAATATTTACTTTTGTAAATGGATGAAAAAATCCTCTTGATTTAAAACTATAAATAAATAAACAAAATAGTTGAATGTAAAACAAACATAAAAAAGTAAATTCAATTTGATAAAAAGGATTTTCTTTTCTTTAACATAGGACTTAACTCAAGTGTTTGAATTCATAATATCAAGTTTTAACCTTTAGTTGAATAATTAAAAAATATCATGTTTCAAATAGAATTGGCAAAATTTTTTTTTTTATGTTGCTTGTTTTTTTTATATATATAAAAGATTACAATTTAAAAAATAAAAATTTTCACTAGATTACATGACCAAAGCTCTGTCATTCCCAAAAGTTTAAAACACAAGTATCTTTACTTTAATTGTAAGTTACAAATATAAATTTGCTTCTTACTGTTTTTTACTTGTAGAAGTTAAACACATATTTGTGATCAAGCAAACAAAAAATTAATCTGAAGACTAAGTTAAAAGATATTTAAGTTTCAGTAAAAATCAAAATTTCATTTAAATAAAATAAAACAATAGAATTTTTGTCAACCTCATGTCAAAAACATATTCTCATAGCAAAGCATAGTCCTGTTGTGTGTGATAAACTTTGAAACATATTCGGGATGCAATCCTAGTTGTAATGAACGAAATCAACAGTTTTTAGTGAGTATCCTGTAGCAGTCTTTATATCACGTGTATACCAAGCATAACATCTTTTATGTGGTCTTTCATTTTTGTCTATAGAACTTTTTATAATTAAAGGAAAATGCCTGCCAGTTTCACCTTTATCCCATTGTTTCACCACCTTTTGGCATTCACTGCCAGTAAGGCAATTCATATCTCCAATAACCACATTGGAGATGTGGATTGCCTCATGATTTTTTTTTTTTAAAAAAACATTTTTTTCAAAAAAAATAACTTCCATGGTCAATATACACAATTTTTTTATTTATAATTAAATTCTTAATCACTGAAATTTATTATTGAAACTTTTTAACATTTTAACAATAATACTCAAACATTTTTATCTCCTAATTTATAAAATCTTTTCTTATTAAAAAAATAAATATTTATCTGAATTTATATATAACTTGTATTTATCTAAGGGGTATAAAAGATTGTAGATATAAGCATGAGTATTAAACCCCAGTGTTTAAAAAAAAATAAAAAACCAAACTTTACTTAAAACTCATTTTTTGCTTAAATTATCATTTTAATACTTTTAATATAGCTTTAATTCATATAATGACATAAATTAATAATAGTGTAGCAGATATTTTTTGTTAGAATTTAAAAAAAGCATTCATGTAATGTTTTAAAAAAAAAAAAATTAAAATTAAGATTGTTTCATAGGTTAGTGACTGGTGGGAAAAATTTATTTACCTACGATCCCGTTCTCCATTAATGATAAACAGCAACTATTACGGTGTTGTAAGTTTCACTTTTTTTCTTGACTAAAATAAAGTTAAATAGTACAAAATTTTTATTAGAAAATTTTATTTAGGGAAGTTTATATGCTCCAAAATCAAGTATACAAACAGCACGAGCTGCAAATATCATACATGCTTTGTTTAAATATAGAAAGACTATTGATAATCATACTATGGCTCCAGTAAAATCTTTTATAATTTTTAAATAGTTAAATATTATTCAAATATTATAAATTATTTTAGTAAAATTTATGATTTTTGTTGTTTTATTTAGCTTCGTTTAATGTTGCTTTACCCCCTCTGCTCATCACAGTATACTAGACAGTTTAATACAACAAGGATACCAGGAAAAGAACAAGGTATAAAATTCTATCCTGTGAGACAAAGAGTAGATAAAAAAGTAGTTAAAATTTTTTAATTGTTCTTGGTCAGAAAATTTTTTTTTCATTTGTCATAAATGATTGCAAAAAAAAAAAAATTTGACAACAGATTATCATTTTGGTGTTATAAATGTGTTGTTATTTATTTGTATATATTGTACAATGCAGGCCAAATTCTTTTGTTTTTTTGAATGTAATGATGTTATGTTTTATAAACCTATTTTTAAATAGAGCTAAAATGAAATAACTAAATATTTTTTTTAATATATTATTATTTTTGAATGTTTTCATGCTATTTAAACAGTTCCAAAAGTTCTTTAAATGGCTTATAACTAACATAGTTTCCATCTGAATAACTACATTTTATATTTTTATTATTGTTATTTTTTTATTTTTTTATTTTTTTCTCTAGTTTAGGATTTTATGAAATGCTTTACAAGCTTATTTATTTATTTTTTTTAGACGAACTTGTAACTGTTCCTGAATCCAATTATGTTATTGTGTATCATAAAGGAAGATTTTTTAAACTTGCAGTCATATTTAGTGGCAACCTGTTAAAACCTGTTGATATTCAAGCGTATGCCTTTAATAATATATAAACTTAATTAAAATCTTGTATTATAGTGTGGGACAAAAAATAGTGAATTTTTTTTTGGACCAATCTTGTTTCTCTGGTCATGAATATATGTCTTCAGAAGGGACCTTAAATATAATTTTTGAAAATAATCAACTACTTCAGTTTGATTGAAGTGAAATCAAAGTATAATAAAAATTCTTAGTACAATAATTTCAGATTAAAACAACAAAGCGCAAAAAAAAAAAAAAAAAAAAATCACTATTTTTTGTCCCACACTGTACAATAACAAAAAAAGAACAAATACTTGTATTACAAAATTTATAGTTTATTTGCAAAATGAGGTTTTGTAATGTGTTCAAGTAATGTGCTTTTTTAATATATAATAATATTTTTGTAATTAGTTAGCTTATTGTGTTTGTGCAAGGTTTTTATGCGGTATTATTTGGCTTAATTAAAAACTTATTAAGAGTTTATATATATTTAGAAAACTAAATAAAATTGTTGAAAATATTGATGACAAGCCTGGACCTGGAGAAGAGTATCTGCCTGTACTTACAGCAACCGACCGACCAGTTTGGGCTGAAATGAGGAGTAAATTCTTTAGTAGCGGTGTCAATAGAAGTTCTTTAGATTTAATAGAAAAAGTAAAAATGTTATTTAAATTTTTTGATATAATTTCTGCTTAATTTTGTCATTTATTAAATCAAGTTTTTGTTGTTGTATTTCATTTTGAATTTTCAAATGCTATACAGCCAAGCTTTTCAATTCTTTTATTTTTCTGTTTTTTTAGTTTTTCCTATTTCTGCTTCTTTTCCATATAATCTACTCGATATGCAATTATAACTTAAGAAATGTCTAACAAAATTTTGAATTTTTATAAAAAAATGTTTGTGTTGATATAGCTTTTTATGATTGCAGTGCATCTCTAACCCCTTAATATATATTTACTATACCAGGAATAATTAGTTTACCTATTTTTACATGAAAATTTTAAGACTTTTGAGCTTTTATTGTTTGATTAACTTTGTTTTTGTAAATATGTAAAAATGAGTTGAGAGAAATTAAAAGTTTTGACAAATTTTTAATTTTAAAATAATGTTTTTATAGTTTAATTATTCTTTTAGCTTTAATTATTTTTTCAGTTTAATTATTTTTTTAATTCTTTTTTATAATTTTTTTTCAGGCAGCTTTTTTTGTCGTATTGGAAGAAGATTCAGAATATTGGTCTTTTGAAACAGTTTGTTTGTTTGTTTTTTAATTATTTTTGTATGTTTCTTAAATGATCATGTATGAATGTGAATATATATATATATATATATATATATATATATATATATATATATATATATATATATATATATATATATATATATATATATATATATATATATATATATATATACATATATATATATATATATATATATATATACACACACACGCGCGTGTACGTATGTAAAATGTTATTCTTGCGTATTTTTAGATCGACACTGTCCTAATACATTTAGCACATCTAAAGTTTAAAAATGTTGATCTAAATTGACTGGGAGAAAAAGGAATTAAATTCAAAAAATCATTTATTTATTTTTTACTTTAATAAAAGTTCTTCATATTTAGATAATACTTACCCTAACCCAAACCCTCAGTCAATGTATGTGCTAAATAGAGAGTTGCACGGAGACAGGAATATAAACCATCCCTGGAGAAATCAAAGCCATCTCTACCCATCTTTGCAAGCACATTTTAACTTCTCCATCCATCCCAGCAAACATTTCTTTCCATCCCCACTCATCCTCACAAATATGAAACAGCAATATATAAAATTAAAAATAAACTTAAAATATACACAAAAAATAAATTAAAACAAAAAAATGTTAACTATAAATTTCTAATTTAGAAAAAAAAAAGTTAAAGTTTAAATTTTTGAAAAACAGCAGATTTTTTACATTATCCAGCGATAATTGTGATCTCCATTCTTTAAGAACCCAGCCAGCAGTTAAAAATGAAGTGCTGGCTACAGGAAATACAAAAATTCTTTTAGCAACCTTAGAAATATTCTTCCACTTATAAGCCCTTTCTTTCCAGCATAACAATATATCATCTTGCACTCCATCACAACTGGTTAAATAAGCATCAACTGAAGGATGATAAACATGATGGTTTTACATGATAAAATTATTTTAAAAATGATTTATCTGATGCTGGAACTTTTTTCAAATCAGTTAAAGCACCAAATAAGGTAGTTATTTTAATTTATTGGGTTCTATATAAAAATCCATATGGGTCCATAAGTCATTTTTTCCATCTCGTGTCTTTCTATGACAATATCATTGTGCAACACGAGCACATCACAAATAATGATTGGTGACTGTCCACCAGAGTTAATTCAAAAATACCCCAAAATCACTTTTTACATTATTTTCTTCAAATAAAAATTTGCTCATTTTTCAATTTTTCATCATAACACTTATTCTTCCACTAAAATCTTCCAATCATAAAAAAAGTTGAACTGATCACTATCAAGTATATATCTATATAAATTTTTTTTTAAAGGCAGTTTGATAAATTGGATAAATTTATCCATAAATTTAAATTGGATAAACTTATTCAATTCATTTAATTAGTGGCGTCACTTACCAACGCCATTATTAAACTAATTATGTTCGTCACTAATTAACAGATTAAATTAAGTTATATATGTATAAATTATATTATAATTAACAGATTAAATTATATATATAACATGTGAAGACATTAAAACATATAAAGACATAAAATAATAATAATAATAATAGTTTAAGCGAATAAGCGCTTATTAAATGATTTTTTTTTTATTGACGTGATTTTGTTTTTTTGTTTTTTTAAAAATTGAATTTCACGTGTGTAACAAATCAGAAATGTTTTTTTTTTTTTTGACTTTAATTACAATTTTTTTTTTAAAATTTTTGATAAACAATGAGTGAAAAAAAAATCGAGTTAATTTTGGAAAAAAAAAAAGCGTACATATGCGGAGGGGGGGGGGAGGAGGTCTCTGAAAGCGTGCAGGTTCATACAAGGGGGGAGGGGTCCTAAACCAGTGATTTTACTGCGTACGTACTTTATGGATGCCCCCTTTGCTTGTTGACAATTTTAAAATCGTTTTATTTATTCGGCAAGGCAAATAATAAAATTTTCATTTATTCTTTTTGAAATTGAGCATTGGAAATTGAAATTGAGCAAAGAACAGTTTTAAAAGTTAAGCAAGTTGCGACATATAATTACTTTTTAATTAATTTTATTGTCCTGATAAAAAACAAACTACCTAAATATACAGAAAAGCTCTGTTATTTAATATTAAATTTGAAACAGAAACTTTTTTCTTAAGTTTGATAAAAAAGAAAAAGAAAAACAACAAATAATAAATATTGTTTGGGCTTCCATAAACACTCCAGCAGGAACCAAAACAGGCTTGATTCATCCCTGTTAATGTTTTATTATATTTTAAATTTGAAAACAAATTTATAAAATAGTAAAAAAAAATTAAACTGAATACTTGTGACTATAAGATTTTTTTTTTTATAAAACGCTACAAACATAATAAATGCGTGTTCAGATATATGTTTCATCTGATTCCTGTTCTAAAGTTTTGTTGGATGATGATTCTAAACCTAAAGTTTCATCGGATGACGATTCTAAACCCAAAGTTTTGTCGAATGATGATTCTAAATCAATTAGTGTTTTTAAAGTTGGTTTTATTTCCTTTTTAGAATAGACTTTTCTGATTTTCTGTGAAGGCCTTCTCAATGTATCTTCAGCCCATAATTCAATCGCAGGATTCAAATCAAAATCATCACTATTTGTTTCATCCATGCAAATCTGAATTAAATTGTTTAACCGTTTTTCATTTAAGCAATTTCTTGTATCTGTTTTAATTCGATTCATTAGAGAAAAAAGACGCTCAACTTTTCCATTCGAAACAGGCAATACAAACAACAGTTCATCAAGAAGCAAAACTGGATTCCACTCTTTTTTAAAGGAATTCAAAAAAATTTGATACCATACTTTACGATACTCAGTTTTATCTGGTGCCAAATATTTGACAGTATAATCAACTAATGCCAAGCATCTAACATATTTTTTACAGTCCAGGGAAGCCAGCATAACGTAATGGTATACTATAAAAGTCATACAATTTTTCGATGTTATCATCAGCAAATGAATTATTGGTATTATTTTGTAACCAACCAGCAGTGTTTAGAATTAACATTCCATGCATATCAGGAACTGTATTTTGAGCCTCTAAACGCTCTTCTATGAATTTTGTCATTAACGCTACAATCATTGATTTCGAATTCTGAACTAAAGTTAGTGCGTTTTTAAAATCATTAGGCATAACATACTGGAAAAAATATTTTCCATTGCTGTTTGTTACTTTTGCTGCGTTTGACAGTTTTTCTTTTTTTTGTAAGCGACCGACTGTGTTTTACTTACGACTGTTTTTTGACTGTTTTTTAGCTTGTTCAACAAATCCAGAAGATGCTACTAAATCAATTTTGTTGCTTTGAAAAGATAATGACAACCGCTTAGCTGGTGATAAAATTTCTATAAATAATGCTATATAAAGAGGTGTTCTTCCGTGGTGCCACTTCTGATGGTACCCTTTAAGCTTTGCTCTTTCTGCTTGTGTAAAACTTAAATCTGCAGACATGTTTTCGAGATGTTTCATATAAACTCCATATTTGTCTAAAATCATTTCAAGAGCTTGAATTTTATGTGAAATCCAGCGTGTTCCTATTTGTTATTGCAAAAATAATTTATAATTTTATTAAAATTTTTCTTGCATAATATATTTTACTGCATACAATTTTTTTATTGCTTAATACCCTATTGTAGTATAAAAGGTTTTGTTGTATAAAAAAAAAAATGTAAAAAAGTATCATATTTTATAAAACACCTTTTTAAAGAACAAAATATTTAAAAAAATTTAAATATACCTGATGCTTTTTTGGAGTGAATACCTGCAAGGTCAAATGAGTTACCCTCTTCAAGGATAGCAACAAGCTCTTCTAACTGCCTTAACTTTTTTAGCGATTTTTTTATAAATGTTATACATTTTCAAAATGATGTTATCAACTTCATTAAATGCTTTTATTTCTGCAAATTTATCTTTTAATGCTAACTCTAGGCGATGTGCAACACTCCAACCAAAAGTTAACCATGGAATTTTTGTCTGAAGTAATACATTTAAACTTGTCCTACTTCCTCTAATTACAGCTGCACCATCTGCGCCAAAACCAACTAATTTATTTTCATAATTTTCGATGCCTTCTGATTCAAAGGATTGACTGATTATATTAAAAACTCCTTCAGATGTTTCATTTTCAAGATTAGAAAGAGAAAGAAAAGAACATTCAACGCATATCTCAGTCTTTCCTATAGGAGTTGGATTAAAGCTGATAATAAATATAGCTTCTTTTTCAAACACAGAAACATCGATTGATGCATCAATTAAAATACTGAAATAATTTTGTGTTTTTAATTTGTTTCTGAAACTGTTTGACAAACTTAACCCAATGTTGTCAATAAAAGTTCCACAAGTTATTTGATTTCTATATGCTTGGCTGAATTCTACACCGTGATTTTCTTCTAAGCATAGTATTTTTGGGTATACACTAAGGGAAGGTCTTCTTTAGCAATAAAGTATGCTACCTCAAATTTTTTCCTGGTTAAATTTAAATCCTTCTTGTTCATCGTTTTCAGGCCTGATAAAATGTCAGTTTGCCGCATTTCTTTTTGCAGGCTGTTTAATTTATCAATACGTTCGCTCACATCCAACCCTTTACTTTTCATTGCTAATTCATATGCTCTTTGATGTGGCAATCCATTTGCATGATCAACTGTGCCACTGTGCTGTACTCGGCAACTACCTTCGTTGCTTCCCCATTCCGGCGTAAATCCTTTATAAGTATCAATTTGTTTAGCATACTCAGTACATACAGTACATTTTAATGCTGCAACATAATTTCCATTATCTCTAACCATTCATTCGCATTATATTTTGCAAGAGTAGTACTTATCCATTTTCAAGCTGTCATTAGCTGTAAATTTCTACTGTAGACTTTTTTTTTTTTTTTCAATTGGTGGTTTTAATTTTGATTCTAGTACTGTCAAAAATGAAATCGTTGTTTGTCTCTTTTTAATGAGTCGATTCGCCTCCATTTTAATAGGTTGTCGTTTGATAATTCTTTTTAAATTCAATAATAGAAATAAAAAAGTGCAAATGCATAACGATATTTTTAAATTTATTTAAAAACAATTCATTCCTAACTAATGGGAAGTAACTAGCGGGAAAAGCTACGACAAAATAAATGAAAAGATTGAATGAAAAAAAAAATTACTTTAGAAGAGAAAATGTTCTTAATTACATACCACAGTTTCATATAATAATTAATTAAGAACTTAAATATTTAAAGTTAACAACGTTAAAAGAAAAAAAATGGTTGCACACTTTGCTCATTAAAAACGTTTTAAAAACTGCTAAAGTTAGTTTAAATAGAGTTAATAAAATTAGTGAATAATAATTTTATTAATTATTATTCGAAGATTTATTTGAAGAAGCGCAAAGACTTTGTACTCAAAATTAACATTGAAATTAATTCTTTGATCTTTTGAGTTCCTTTTTGATCCCAACACTCTGCTGCATAGTTTAAAATTTCAAGTTCCTCATTTATTCCGTTTGCAGCAAAAACTTGAGTAAACAAATAAAAAGTTAAGACGAATTTTTTTGAGATAAATGCAATTATTATATATTATTATATGATTATTAAAATAATATATTACATACAATTATTATATACTTTATTAAATTAATAAAGTATAATAAGAACTTCAATCATTTATGAAAAAATGATTTTCACCACCAATAAAATTAGTGAAGATATAAGTGAAGAAAAGAATTATTAGATGTCACGTCTTATATTTGTTAGCAAAAGGATTTTAAGAACATATTGTAAACAATAAGCCTAATTTGAGCACTTTTTCAAAAATTTTATGATTGTATGATAATTTAGTACATGTTTTTTCCAAATAATAATCTGATTATTTTTCAAATCTTGTTTTTCAAAACTCTTAACCATGACCGGCAAGAATTCATTTTGGGAGGTCAAAATAGCAATTTTACTCATTTTGGGCGGGCATTGACCGTTGACCGGCCGTTATTTTACACGCTGATATATATATATATATATATATATATATATATATATATATATATATATATATATATATATCTGTGTGTGTGTATTCTACAGATGGAGTGCTTGGTGTTCTTATCTAAAATACTTATCTTGGAAAGGCTGTTTTTTCTTTTGTAGGATCATCAGGAAGAATGTCTAATATCAAAAAATTTAGGTTATAGAAAAAATATATTTATGCATATATTTTTATTTTGTTATATATTTATGTATATATTTATATTTTGATGTTTATGATCTTTTCTTCCAAAAAAAAAAAACATTTCTGTTTTTTTATAAAATGAAAGTTTTTTTTTCTGTTAATAAATATTTAAAAGAAGAACCATCATAGTTAATTTAATCACCCTGCTTACAGCTACCTTATAATGTAAATAGCAAACTTTATTATAATGTAAATAGCAAATTTTATCAAATCTTATGTAGTTTTTTTATTAGTTGGTTTTGTACTACAGAAAATCCTAATATTTTTAGACAAATCTAACTTGGTAGAGGAGAACTTTAATAAATAGGACAAATATTGAATGGAATGAAATCAAAGTTACATAGAAGCATCTACCTTTAGATATTCAAACTCATTGTAATAAGTAGTGTTAGACACAATCATTTAACAGATCGAATCATTATTTCTATTATGGTCTAAGTATAATGGCATTAGATGATACTGTGTTTTGAAGAATAATAAGTAATTTATAAGATAATTTTGTTTTCTGATTTTGCTGGCCCTTCATTTTAGGATAAAGTGGGAAACCTATTGAACAGAACAAAGAAATAATTATTGAATAGCACTTGTTCAAACAAACTGTGAAATAAGTAAAAAAAGATAACAACAAATAACAACAAATAACTAAACAACAATTAAACTAATGTGGCCCATGCTTTAGTTGAAATTTATTATATTGTGTAGTATGTATACTTAATATATTTAACACATTGGTTTACTTTTGCTATTTAGTTTTGTGTTTTTAATTTTATTTATACACACTACATATGTACATTGTTTGATCAAATATATAATATCATTTTTTTATGTATCCTATGATACCATAGTTTGATCAGATATCCTATGACATTTGAATATATTTGATTTTTATGAAATTTTGAATTTTTTTAGATAAAACCAAACACAAAATTAACGCAAAGCAATTTCAATTTGACATGTAGCTGAAAAATTTAATTTATAAAAAACTACAGTAGTTAGAGCTGTAAAAATGACAAGATCTCTAAAGTTGCTAGAAAACTTTAACTGCATTGCAAACATAGGAAATAGAAAATTTTTTCATGCTTCTGATGAAAGTGCTTTTGTAGAACATTTGCATATGTCTTTAAATATGTGGAACAGTTTAACTAAATTATAAAATAGGCAGTTAGCTTACAAGTATAGTGTTGCATTGAATTCAAAAAATATTTCTATTTTTTGAATTTAATTTGTATTATGTTGAACATAATGATTTTAATTCAGTTAAAATAAAATTTGATTTTTTGATTTAATAATTATTTTGCAGATTCTTAAAGATTTATTTTTGAATTGTTCTGCTGTTATAAATAAATTAGTTCTTACCAGTTATTAAATTTATTATAATTCTTTTCAAGTTTAAAATGTTTTATTTTGCTAAATTTAAAATTGATTTCATATTTTTTTTAATTTTTTTTTAAAGAGCTCTCAGGATGATATAAATAACTTCAGTAGGAGAATGTTACACGGGAAAGGATACAATAGATGGTTTGACAAATCTTTCAACTTCATTGTATGCAAAAATGGTCAAGTGAGTTAAATAATTTTTTATTGCTCCTAAATATTGTTGCGTTTTAGATGATTGTCTTAAAATATTTTTTTAATTTCAGATTGGATTCAATGCTGAACATTCTTGGTTAGCTTTTGTTTATTTTTCGTGTTTATATTGTTTTTTTTTTTATTGTGTTATTCAAAATTGTTTGTAAATTGTAAGTAAGTTTAATATTAGACTTTTCAAAAGGATTACTCCATGTTAGCTTCTGAGTAATTGATTTGTTAAAGGAAATATTTTAAAGGAAAAAAATAAAACTTGTTTGTTGACAATTATTTAATTAGACTTTACATTGTATTTAATATAAGTGCAAACAACATGAATAATTGTTTAGACTTTCTAATAATGCCTTGTATCATTCTGCTATTTTTTTAAAGGGCTGATGCTCCTATTATGGCTCATGTTTGGGAATGGGTTTTTATTGAAGATGTTGAGAAATTAGGGTTTGTTTTTATATATATTTTTTTGTGATTATATGTTGTTTTAATGTTTACTGCTTTTTATATCTTATAATTAATGACAGATAATCTATGGAGGAAGCCTCAATTTATTATTTGCAGTTTAACAAAATTATTATCTATACTTTTGTTTACAATAAATATTATTTATTCTTATTTTGAAAACTTTAAACAAGACTTTATTTTTTCTTCATCAATGCTTTATTTTGATTCTTACCTTATAAGTTATAATAAAAAGTAATGAGTAAGAGGTTGGGAAACATATTTTGATTGAATTTTTTTATGTAAAATTCACTTGTTGGCTAAATAGAAGAAATATAATCAAACATTTTTTCGATGTTAATATTCAATAGCATTATCCCTTTCCATCAGCATTTTTGCTAAATTGTAGCTAATGATCTTCATTTTCAAATTTTACTTTGATCTAATTTTAATTTTTGTTACTTAATTTATGTTTAATTTTACTTTGTTAAAGTTCAAAATCTTTGACTGAATACTCCATAATTAAATTTAGTAAATGGAAATCCTAACAAATAAAAGTTTTTCTAAGATGCATTAAGTCTTTTGAAAACAGTTTTTTTCACAGTTTTTGATATATGAGAGTTTAAGCTGTAAATATCTTTTCTAATCTTATTGATAAATTCTCAAATAAAAAAAATAAAAAATCTTTGTGTATTTAGTAAGGTGCATCCATCACCCCATACTTTAAAAACAGATATGTACCTATTTTTAAAACATTATATTGGTTTTCACATGTATCTCTGATAAATTTTTTTTTAATTTAACAAGATTTAGGGTTTTTCAAATTTCATACTTAAGGTGGCCCACCTCAAGTCTGAAATTTGCAACGTGACCCAAAAAAAAAAAAAAAAAATTGAATATATATCATGTTGGGTCTTGAAAGAAGCGAAATTTTTTTTAAATTTCAAAAATAATTATCTATTTTCATTAAAAAATACTTTAAAATAATTAAACAAATTATTAAAAATTACACTTTTTTTTTGTTTTTTGTTAAAAAATGATTCTTTTTATTCAATAAAACATAAAATAATAATTTTTGTATAAAATAATAATTATTTTTAAATTTAAATAAAATGTTTATTGGCTTTTAGGGTTTTGTTTCAAATTTCAGACTTGAAGTGGCCCGCATAAATCTTGTTAAATTTTGAAAAAATTTAACAGTTACATGTGAGAACCAATGAATTAATTTAGTAATTGGAAATCCTAACAAATAAAAGTTTTTTTAAGATGCATTAAGTCTTTTGAAAACAGTTTTTTTCACAGTTTTTGATATATGAGAGTTTAAGCTGTAAATATCTTTTCTAATCTTATTGATAAATTTTCAAATTAAAAAAAACAAAACAACAACCTCTTATCACTCTGAATGAGAACAGTTGTAATGTGCATTCATTAGATCGCAACTGTAAATGTTTTTTAATCAACATTTGCATTGTGTTTTTTGCTTTTTTTTATCAGTTTAAAATTTTGTTTTTGCTTACTACTTAAATTATTGAAACTGTTAGTTCTCATAAAAGATGTAAATTATTTTAAAACATTAACTTGGAAAAATTGTTAAATGGCATTTCTCAGTCTTTAGGGTATTATACCTCCCTGTCAATATAAATCTAAAACTAAAAATTGCATCATGTATAAAAAAAAAAAAGTTACTAAAAAATTATATTAAACGCTTAACATTAAAAGTAGCTTAAAAAAACATATTACTTGAAAACATTATTACTTTTTTGATGAGTAGTTTATTATACTCAGTTTTTACTAAAGCTTTTTTAACAATATAGTTATAAAAGAAGTTTATATAATTAGGCTATATAATTATGAATGCTATATTGTGTTGTTATATAAATTAAACAAAATAACTTTCTTATAAAAAGATGTAATGCAGTTATTAGAGCACTTGCTTCAGAATTGAGAGGTCTTTAGTTCAATACCAGCTCTGGTATTGAACCACAGACCTCTATTACCTATATTTGCAACAAGTGCTCGTCCATGATGTTTAAGGCTTTAAGTACTTGTACTAAGCAATCTAATAAGCAGGTTTTTTAATGAATTAAATGTATGATGCACATAAAAATACTTACTTATTCAAAAGATAACTGAAGCATTGGTAAAATAGTTTAAACTTAGAATCTGTCACTTGTAGAAACATTCAACAACATTTTTCAATGTTACTATGCACATTTAAATGATTTAAAATTAAATTTTTAATTTACATTTAAAATCAAAGGCATTTTTTATTTTAGTTTTAACAATACACCCCAAAATAGTGTTTTACTTACAATTTCGTCTTTTGCTATCAAAATCATTTTAAAATTATGTTGTACTTAACATTAAAGGTACTTTAATGTTTTGTTTTCAAAACTTTAAAATGCTATTAATGTTAAGTACAATATAATTTTAAAATGATTTTGATAGCAAAAGACAAAATTGTCAGTCAAAACAATCAAAGCATATGTTTTTTTTTCATTAAAAGTTATAATTGGGTGTTTAAGTTTTGCAAATTTGGGTGTTACTATTTTACACATTAAATTTAATTTTGTGTTTAAAGTATTACATAAAAATATTGGTTTTAGTCTTTAAAGGAATGGGGACTTTAAAGGAAAGGGAAAAAAGGCAAGAAGAGTTGGGGTATTTGTATTGTATTATTTAGTATTTGTATTGTATAAATATTATAAGTATTTAAATATAGTTTTAATATATCGTATTAATTGTTTTAATATATCGTATTAATCGTTTTAATATATCGTAATCATCGTCTTGATTCCCACATGACAACTAACAATCTTCATGTATAACCTCAATATGAATACAAAAAACATCACTCAACTGAAACACTTTTACTTAAGCTTACCAATGATATATTTGAACTCTTTGATAAACATACACCAGTATTCAGTAATAATGTTACTTGATTATTACACCAGTATTCAGTACTAATGTTACTTGATACACCAGTATTCAGTACTAATGTTACTGGATTGTTACAATATTCAGTACTAATGTTACTTGATCTAAGTGCTGCCTTTGACACTATTGATCAGCAAAAACTTGGACTATTAACCAGTGACAGGTATAATTGACTCAGCTCATAAGTGGTTTAAATCATTTTTAGTTAACCGTACTCAAAAAGTTAAAATTGTTAGTTCATATTTCACGAACCAAAATGTAAAATATGGAGCACCAGAAGGTATATAGGACTGGTATATAGAAGGTATATAGGACTATATCCTGGGTCTAAAACTCTTTAATATCTGTATGAGACTACTATACAAATATCTGAACATAATTAATGTCAAAACTTTTGGATACTCAGATTATCAAACTCGACTAAGTAAAAAGTTTAGGGATGATGCTTGACAAAGAATTATCTAAAAAAATACAAATAAATAAGATTTTTAAAAACTGCTACAATATATTGAGCAAAATATTCAAAATAAAACAGTTCTTATCACACAAAGATTGTACCATACTATGTTCACTAATATTCGCAAAGCTAGATTATTGCAACTCCCTCTACTTTGGAATTGAAAAGTCACTATTAAAAAAACTGCAGTCTGTTCAAAATTGTGCAGTAAGACTGGTATTTAAAATTAGAATAGAAAATCATGTAAACGACCAGAAATTTAACAAAAAGTATTGGCTGAAAGTTAGAGAAAGAATATATTTCAAAGTCCTTTTAATAATGCACAAATCTATTATACTGAAAGCGCTAATGTCATTATCCAATTTAATTCACTACTCAATGTCAGAAAGAACACTAAAATTAAAGGAAACAAAATACAGCAATCGTTTTGGTAATTGAGCATTATCCCACTATGGTCCTAAACTTTGAAATAGACTTCCAAATAACATCCGTGACAAAACACAACTATATAAGAAAAAACTAAAATCTTATTGATGAACGGTAAACTATTTTACCAGAAAACTCTTAAATGTTAATTAAAATCTCTTGAACATTATTATTAAAAATTTTTACTAATAAAATAATTTGTTGCACAGCTGAGCAAGTGTTTTATCCTCTATTCTGGAAAAACACAGTAGCTGTGGGTAAATATATGTATTTATTTATTTAATAATTTAATATATATTTATATATATATATATATATATATATATATATATATATATATATATATATATATATATATATATATATATATATATATATTTTTTTTTTTTTAACATCTTCACTTCCAACAAGGCTGCAAGCAACCACTATAAGAGTTGGAAGTTACTGGAAGAGAAAAGACTAAATCTGTAGAGCAAGATAACGATTGACTGATGACTTAAAAGATTGCAAATTATATGAATCAGGAAAGCAAGATGAAGGAAGCGAATTCCAAAGAACTGATGTTCGAGGAAAAAAACTAGAAGAATAAGAGTTTTTGAAGCACTTAGGAACAGTCACAGAAAACACGAGAACAGAGAGTGAATTTTAGTAGATGGCACAAGGGACGCTAGCTCTTTAGAGCAGTGCCCATTATAGTATTTGTAGAAAAGAGAAAGAGAAGCAACATTACGGCGATGTGACAAAGGTTGGAGATTGGCTGCAAGAGCAGGTCCAACTATGTTTACAATTCGTTTTTGCACCTTGTCTAAAAGAGAAAGAGCATCATTAGAAGATCCGCCCCAGATGTGGCTACAGTATTCCATACAGGGACGGATTTGAGATTTATAGAGATAGAGAATAGAATCTGGAGTAAGAAAGTGTCGAGCTCGATAAAGAGATGCAACCATAGCAGATGCTAATTTTGCAATGGATTTGATATACGGTTTAAAAGAAAGATCAGAAGTAAGAGTTAATCCTAGAAGATGAATGGTAGATGACTCATCTAGTACATTACCATTCATAAATATAGGAAGATCCAAACTATTACGATAACGATTGGCCGAATAAAATTGAGTTTTATCTGAATTAAAGTTCACCAGCCACTGTGAGCCCCATGCTGTAGCAGAAGTGAGATCCTTTTCAAGCTCAGATACCCCCTCCAAGCAATCAGAGAGTGTAGGCTTCTTATCATGACAAGAGTAAATGGTAGTGTCGTCAGCGAATAATGCCACCTTAGATGTGAGAATATCTGGAAGATCGTTAATGTAAATTAAAAAGAGTATAGGGCCAAGGATTGAACCTTGAGGAACCCCTGAAGTTACAGGATGTGAAGAAGAGTGTTGTCCATCGAGGACAACTTTTATACTACGATTGGAAAGAAAGGACTCAATAATCTTAAAGACGTTACCAGCTACACCATAAGAAGAAAGCTTATGGAGAAGACCAGCATGCCAAACTTTATCAAAAGCTTTAGAAATGTCAAGTGCGATAGCCTTAACCTCTCCACCTCTATCTAATGCACGGTAAAACCTATCGGTTATTACTGTTAGCACATCAGCTGTAGAACGAGAAGACCGAAATCCATATTGATGATCAGAAAGTAAGTTATTTGATTCAAGATGAGAGATTAAGTGTTTGTTGATTAAAGATTCAAAAACCTTGCTTATGACAGGAAGAAGACTAATGGGACGGTAGTTAGATGAATCAGATCGCTCTCCGGAATTTTTGAAAATAGGGATAACAGATGCTGCTTTCCAGCATGATGGAAAACAAGACTCTGATAAGCACTTGTTAAATAGTTTAGAAAGTATGGATGAAAGCTCCGGAGAACACCTCTGCAAAACTACAACAGGAATGTTGTCAGGACCACAAGCTGTTGAAGAGTCTAAGCAGGAAATTACTTTAGATACAGAAGCTGAAGTGATGCGAATGTCAAGCAAGGGATCAACCTGTTTGACGGCTATGTCAGGTAAAACGCAACTAGTGGAATCAAGAGATGATATTGATGAAAAGTTCTTAGCAAACAATTCAGCTTTGTCTTTAGGTGAGGTGACAAAGTCTGAACCATACAAGAGAGAAGGAATAACAGATTTGCCCTTATTATTGATACTGTTAAAGATTCTCCAGAAGTCTCGAGAGCCTAATTTTTGTGATGAGATACGAGATTTAATGACCTGGGAATAGCGAGCTTTGGCGTCAGACAAAACCTTTTTACAATGGTTTCTGGCGATAGTTAACAGATGTCTGTTTTCTGGAGAATTGTTTTGCTGATAGATATGGAAGTAACGGTTTCGATTAGAAATTGCTGCAGCGCAATGTGAGGAAAACCAAGGAGAAGAGTGAGGTTTGACCTGGAATCGTCGAGAGGGAATAAAAGATTCCATGCCAGCCTGAATCCACGAAGTTATGTAAGAAGCACATTTGTCAGCAGGAAGACGAAAGATTTCTACCCAAGGGCCATCACGAAGAAAATCACGGAAAGAGTCCCAGTCAGCTTTAAGGTAGTTGTATGTGGTACGATGATAGGGGGATTCTGATGAAGTAGAAGAATTTGATAATAGTTTTAGAGAGATCAAACCGTGATCAGAAGTACCTAAGGGTGAATGTGGAGAAATTGAGCACTGACAAGGATCCAAAACAAGACATAAGTCAAGTAGAGAAGGTAAATGATTAGGGTTGTCTGGAAAACGAGTTGGAAAGTTGACTATTTGAGTTAGAGATTGAGAAAGGCAAAAGTTGAGGGCCTTAACGCCAGCAGAGTCACTGACACTAAAGCCAAGCCAATAGGTGTGATGGGCATTAAAGTCACCAACAACGACGATATTGGCCGATGGATAAAGAGAGAGGGCTTGGTCAATTTGATCAGAAATAACATCAAGAATAGTGCAGTCTTGGGATGAAGGAGAGCGATATAGAACAAAGAGAAAGGCGATAGAGTGAAGTTGTGCTAAACGAAAGCACATAAATGAATAGTCTGTAGATTCAAACCTAGTTTCACGACAAATGGGTGAGTTCTTACGAATGTAGATGCCCAGGCCAAGCATGTGATTATTGGAGTCTTTACGAATTAAAGGAAGATAACCATCAACACTAAGATCACAAGATGGGACAGCCGAACTCAAATTAGTCTCACAAAGAGCAAGTAGGTCTGGTGAACTTTGCAAGAGATAAGACTCAACAGAAGAAAAGTTACTTCGAAGACCACGAATATTAGTAAATGATAGGTTTAGAGAACTTGGTGATGACAATGGTTTTTTGTGTTTTTTAGTTTTAGGTACTTTAGTCATTTTAAATTTATAAAGAACTTGACTCAAGTATAGATAGTACTCAGTACACTATTTAACAACTAAGCAATAGCCTCATTACTATTAATAAACCCTAAGCCGTAACAAAGGGCTCCAAATGTGGCCTCTGCAATGCACACCAAAAGTACAAACAGGGACACCATCCATGCGCAACATGGCACTGTTAGTACTCTGATATTTTTCGGCTGTTGATGGAATCAGCCTCTCTGAGAGCTACCACAGAGTTCGGGAAACCTGACTACCAGCCGGCCTCAGAACCATAAAACTGAGTTTTAGAGCTTTACCCTCATTAGGAGATAATAGAATGAGTTGCCCAGTCATAAAAATAGAGACACAAGCAATACCCACGCATTGAGTCAAGAAGAAGATCCAGCATTCAACATCCTAAACTGGAAACAATGTATTAAAAATACATCTGCGCCAGCCTAATAGATGAGGAAGGGGTGCGAGGCTGGTCAACAGATAGAATCTGTTTACCCCTTAAGTCTTTGCCTAGGAGGCCTTCTACATGACAGCAGCTGGATGCATGTAACATCTGCCCAAGATGAGTATTTTTATCGAGACACCATCTCTAGCCTTTACTCAACCAAGAGCCCCAAGGCAGGGGGTGTTTTAATTCGGAGTTAACTTCTCCTAGCCTTTGCCTAAAAAAGCGTATCCTACAAGATATATATATATATATATATATATATATATATATCCTACAAGATATATATATATATATATATATATATATATATATATATATATATCCTACAAGATATATATATATATATATATATATATATATATATATATCCTACAAGATATATATATATATATATATATATATATATATATATATATATATATATATATATATATATATATATATGTATCCATATATATATATATATATATATATATATATATATATATATATATATATATATATATATATATATATATATATATATATATATATATATATATATATATATATATATAAATTTTTTAATTGTATATAACAAACAAAAAGTTGAAAAAATAAATTGCTAGCACTAATACTTTGTTCACATTTTCTTGCATTAAAATACATTTTTACAAAAATATAAATACCAATATTAAACATAACTAAAAATACTAATAAACCAATACAATCATGCTGTAAAATAACTAAAGAAAGAAAATATATTTATTAATTTAATACTTTAGTGGCAAATTATTGAAAATAGCCTTGAAAATCAAAGTTTGATTGGCTAATAGTCATTTTTAATTTATATTTTTTGTATTTGTATTGTTCATGTCATTAAAGTTTTTGTAAAATTTCATGATATTATACTGAAAAATGTTCAAAAAATCAAGTGTACATATTTTATTGGTGTGGTAATTAATAATAATCCTTTTATGGGTGTGGTAATTAATAATAACCCTTTCTGAAATAATAAAATACCAATCAGGATTTAGTCACTGTCCATAAAGTGTGTATTTATTTATTAAAAATGCAATAAATATAAAAAGTTTTTTTTTTTTTTAAAGATATGATAAAGATGGTAATTGTCATGGAACTCCAAAATTCAATTGGCCGCTTTCAACAAAGTTGCAATGGGAAATCCCAGAAGAAGTACTACAATTTATCAAATTTTTTATTTTTCTAGAAATGTTGATTTTATTTGCTTTAAAATGATCTTATTTTTTCCAGTGCATATCTGTCATTAATTCTTCTCTTGTGAAAGTCCAAAAGGAAATTGATGATGTTGAACTTTTTACGCTGATTCATACACAATTTGGTAATTGTTTTATTAAAAAATATGTTACAATATTTTTTTTTTTTTTTTTTTTTTGCAAACATCTTCAAATCATGCCATCAGTGTAAACAGATCTCAGATTAATGCAATGATTAATAATTTGAAGAAGACCAAGTCGCTCTGTAATATCGGTCTCACTGATTGCTAATCTTCTTGGTTTACTTTGATAATATAGTATGTTTTTTAAGTCTTCAACTTCATAAATAGTATTACTAGATATTATTTCATTTCTGTTATTCATAATTTCTTCATAACTTTCATTTTGACCGTCTACCATATCTATCTGATCTGGTTTTTTTGAACGAACAACAAAACTCCATCCTGCTTTCCAAAGTCTTTTCTTTAAGTTTTCTTTTGATTGTTTCAATTTTTTTCTCTTGCTTAAAACTTTTACTTTAAACATATCATCAGTAATTTTTTTTTCTATTCATTTAAACAATTTTTTCAAATGTGAAATATATTTTTTTTTTATAAACACAACTTTTTGATTGAACTTTTTTTTTATGTTTCATTATGGAGCAATGTTTCTATTTTTAAACACATATAAATGGTTTTTTATCAATGTTGAATGATACTAAAACACTCAACTAGGAATTTTATATAAATAATTTAGTTATGTTTAATTATTGATATTTGATTAATAAAAACTTTTTTTTGAAACAAATTTTATTTTATTAAACTTGATTTGTTATTTATTTTAACAATAAAAAAAGTAAATTAAACCTGACTTATTTTGTTGAAATGATTGGTTTGAATTAATTCACATTAATTTTTATTTAGGATGAACTAATAAAGAGTTTTAAAAAGATTATTTATAATTTTATAGCTATTTTTAAAATTATTTAATAAAATTATTTATAAAACATATAAAAACATAATTTCTTTGCTTTCTATAATACTTGGTTTTTAAAATAAAAATTTAATATCTAATAAATTTCAAGACCATAGTAAATTCTGTGTTGATTAGAAAGACCATTTTGGATTCTGTGGTGGTTAAAAAGACCATAGTAGATTTTGTGTTGAATAGAAAGACCATATTAGGTTCTGTGTACATTAGAAAGTCCATTGTAGATTCTGTGGTAATTTACAAGACCATGGTTTGTATGGTTGGTTTTGATTACTTGGACGGTTGGACGTTTTTGATTGCTTGGTATGGTTGGTTTATAAAATTATTTTATTAAATAAGAAATATATTTATTCTGCAAAGATTTTGTGGAGCAGCCAAACAGTATTTCAAAAGGTGCTGTGTTGGCCTTGGCCACAGCTAAACAATATTTCAACAGGTTCAGTAGTACTTCCCAAATTTTTTTTTTATATAAAACTTTATTAGATTAAGCCTACCAATAATCCCACTGCAAATAATCTGCAAATTAATCCCACTGTTATTGTTCATAGTCAAGGTTAAAGATCTCATGCATCAAAAGCTTTGAAATTTTATTTATTTTTAAAATTTTAGAATGAAAATAAGCAACCACTTTTTAAAACAATACACTTTAAATATAAATAACTATAGAATAGAATTTGATAAATATGAAGTATTGTTTTTTTTAAACAATACACTTTAAATATAAATAATAATAGAATATATTTTGATAAAAATAAAATGTTTTTTTTTTAAAACAACAAACTTTAAATAAAAGTAATAATAAAATTTGATACGATAAATATGAAATTTTTTAACATTAGTTCAGGTAAAGATTGCTCAACTTTTAGTTCGTGATTATGTTTTACTATAATAATTTACTTAAGTTTTAATTTTTAGGAAAAGGCGAGATAAAAAAATGCAAAGTGAGGTAGATATTTTTATATTATTTTGTAAAGGTTTATATTATTTTAGAAAGGTTATTAAAAATTTAGTTTATTTAAAAGTATATTTAAGTTAAATTTTATTTTATAGTCCAGACGCTTTTTGTCAAGTTGCTTTTCAATTAGCTTATTACAAGGTAACTATCATGAATATTTCCTCATTATAGAATTTTTGAATTTTCAATAATTTCATTTTGAATAATGCTTTTTTTGGTACAACAATATAAATTTTATAAATATTTATATTTTTATATTTATATTTATATTTTTCATAATAATAAATTTTTTAATTTAAACAGTGTTGGATATTTTTAAATACTTTAAATTTAGCGAATAAAAAATGGATTAAAACAGGGCATAAAAAGATGCAGTAAAACAAGGCATAATCAAATAGAGAGTATAATTTGAAATAAAATTAGCAATCAGTAAAGTAAAAGCATGTCCCTGTATAACTTTTTACGCCATTCAAGAACCTTTTTTTTTAATTTAAATTTCAATTTCTGGTATTAATGAGTTAAAAACAGAAACAACTATGATGTTGAATGAATTACACCAATTGTTGGAGTTCTTATTAGTCTAAACTGACCAATAAGTCTCTATACATTTTGTAAGTCACTATACAGTTCTCTCTTAACATTTTGTTTCTTGTAAAATTAAGTATACAAAATATATATTTTTAATATTTTAGAATTTAATAAGGTATTATTTATTTTATTTTTACAAAAAGTTTATTTTTAAATCACCTTAATATGTTAGACATAATTTTATGCACTTATACATTGAATTTTTTAGCCAAATAAAAAATGCTTTGCAATTTATTTTTTTATTTTACTTTTAATCAGTTTTATATTATTTTTATTCAACTTTCATTTATGTAAAACGTTTTTATGTTATGTATTGGTTTTTATTATATATATATATATATATATATATATATATATATATATATATATATATATATATATATATATATATATATATATATGAATATATATATATATATATATATATATATATATATATATATATATATATATATATATATATATATATATATATATATATATATATATATATATATATATATATATATATATATATATATATATATATATATATATATATATATATATATATATATATATATATATATATATTAAAGATGTTCATATCAAATATATTACTGATTAATTACCTTAATTATTTCAGAGTATGAAAAAAGTTTGTTTAACATACGAATCAGCAATGGCAAGACTTTTTAGGTATTACCCTTTTATGGATCTCTATTATTTTCCATATACCCAGTGGCTATTCTAGACCGTTTTTGACAGCACTGACCATATTTGGGCGCTGATTTGAGGTGCCCAAATACAGTCAAAATTACAGACCTTTTTGCAAAAAAAGCCCACATTTAGCAATATTTCTGCTAAATTTAGCAGACAGGGGGTACTGCCATCCAAATTAATTTCCTAGAATAACCCCTGACACCTTTGAGTACCTATCTATTTCATCTATAATTAAGTTTGACATGATTTATAATAAATTAGGTTTTACATTCTTAATAAATTAAGCGTAATAAATTTTATGATACTCAATTTTTTACATGTACAATAGGATGGTATTGTTTTCAGTTTTCAAACATTCATTTTACATTAAGTACCTAAATTTACTAATTAAATATTGAGTAGAGATGATGGTAATAATGATCATAATGAAAACAACAACATTAAAAAAGTTATTATTACTTTATTAAAATTTTAGGGATGGAAGAACAGAGACTGTTAGATCATGTTCCATGGCATCAACAAATTTTGTTAAGGCAGCAGTTGATCCTACTGTTTCAGTAATATATTCATTTTTTAATAATAATATAAATATTTCTTTTACTTGTTTATTTCTTTTCACTTTATTAATTTTTATTTTATAAATGACAAAAAATTTTATTAAAAAAAAAAGAAAATTTAAACTTTTTTTAAATTACTTCAAATCGAAACTTAGAGAGAAGTTAAACGTGATCTGTTAATAAAAGCTTGTAATTACCATACCCAAACAACAATTGATGCAATGACTGGTAAAGGTAAGTTGAACAAAAGTTGTAGCCATAATATCTTGTTTAATAAATACTTGATATTAAAATTTTTTATTAAAACTACAAATATAATTATAAAATTACTAGGCGTGGATCGTCATTTGTTTGCACTATATGTTGTATCTCAGTATCTGCAATTAGATGTGCCTTTTTTAAAAACAGTTAGATTTTTTTTTTTTTAATTTGTAGATGTTTTTTTTATTTATTTTTTGGCCTGGATTAAATACATTATGCAAATATTTAAATTTTTCATTTTATATAAATATTTGAATTTATTTTTAAGGTACTTAGTGAAAAGTGGCTTCTTTCAACCAGTCAGGTATTTTGTTTTGAACTTTTTAAAACTATTTAATTTACTTTTTAACTCAGTATATTTTTAAAAAAGTATTTTTATTAACAGACTGCAGTTAATCAAACAATGCGCTTAGACATTGAGAATAAACCTGAGCATGCTTGTGCAGGAGGAGGGTTTGGTCCAGTATGTATTTTTTTTTTAAGTTAGTAATAAAGCATATTGTAAATAGGGTTTTGTTTAAGTATTTCTAGGAATATAACAAATAATGATAATAAATGGCACAGGTGCCATTTTTTAGCTGGAAGGAAAACAAATTTCACTCAAGCACCTATCAAATAATTAAGAGAGAATTGATTAGAGTTCTGGAGAACACATTTGTAAGATTATGACTGGAACACATTTGTAAGATTATGACAGGAATCTTGTTTTAGACTTTGTTAATGACACTGTTGAAGATTTTCCTAAAGTCTCTAGAGCCTTTTTTACTTCTAAGATACCAAGTTCTCATGAGCCTAACTCCTGAGGTACAAGATACAATATTTAGTAAACTGGGAATAATGAAGCTCAGCATCAGACAGCATCTTTTTACATTGAATCCTTTCAATAATAAAAAAGGTGTTTGTTCTGAAGAGACTTGCTCCTGTGAAAAAGATAAAGAAAAATGATTATAATGAGATATAGCAGCTACAAAAGCAAATGAAAACCATTGAGTAGAATGATGCTTGACTTAGACTGTAGAAAAAAAATCAAAACTTTCCATACCTACCTGGATCCAGGAGGTTACATAGGAGTAATATATAACTGAATGCTCGAGTTAGGCGATCTATGCTCATATAAAAAGCAATTCCAAGAAATTGCTCCAGCTTGTTGAGCAAAATTTTAACAGATTTTTTTTATGTCTTTCTTGGTTTTAAGAGGCAAGTGTTTTTGCAGGATTTTTCTTTGTTCTATTAAAATCTGGTACATTCATATTCATTAAAAGGACTTTTTTTTTCTTTCCAAATAAACTGACTTATTTTAAAAGCAAAAAGCAGCTCATCTGAAATAATAAAATAAATTCTTAAAAAAGACATGAAAATGCTACCCAAAAATATAAGCCAAAAAAATATAAAGAAGAAAATGCATAATGCTTTTATATTCTTTAGAAATAAAAAAGCTATCATCTGTGATATGAAATATGTAGGTTGGTCACATGATCCAGTCACATGTAAAGGAAAAATAAGTTATATAAATGAAGAGCAAAGGTTTCATTTAAAGTGAGGCACTAAAAGATTTTGTTAACTAAAAGAGATTCATTATGTTTACAAGTAAAGAATTAAATTTGGCATTTGTGGATTTAGAATAAATATAAAAATATAAAAATGAAGTAATAAATAAAGATTCCAACAAATAAAGATAGAAATAGAAAATGCTGCTATGTAAATATGTCTTGACAAGTAGGAAATTTATATGCGGCACTTTAAAATCTTTTTCAAGATCAATCAATAATAACTATAGACTTAGCTAAATTAAAGGGTTATCTAACCAAGTGGAATAATAGAACGATGCTATGTATTTTAACTTGCTAATAATATTACAGACCAACTTGACCCTTAAATAAAAAAATTTTAAAAATCAGACATCTTCAAGTTTAGTGATTTTTAATCCAAAAATTTTCTGTCATATGTAACCTACTATTCAAGTTCAGAGACAATAAAATTAATGTTAAATAAAAATATTTTTTATATTTATTTATTGAATGGCCTGAAGAAGAGGATTATTTTAGCGTTCTCAGGCTCTGTAAATGATCATGTTATTTTTTGGCGTATTAAATTTAATTTTGGCATATAAAAATTTTTTTATGGTGTATTGGCGTAACTTTAAAAAATTACAAAATGTCTCCTCTGCAATGAGGTTAGTCTATTGGCTATAAATTTATTTTACAACATCAAAAAATCTAAAACATACTATCAGAATCTGAGCTGTCTGAGCTTGACAAAATTAAATTCTCTTGAGCATCATCTTTTTCAGAAGATAGTTTTCAGAAGACTGTCCTTTGAATCTTTAGATAGTTTTCTAATGAAGATTTTTTTCATAGACTTGCCGTCGATTGTGACAAGATCCTTTTTTGATTAAATTATCTATATAATATAAAAAGTAAAAAAGCAGTTAATTATAACATTTCTTCAAAAATTTTTTTAGTACTATTCATCTTATTAGATTTATGGGAATAAAAAAGTCTAATTCTATTCAAGCTATGTTAGAAAAAAACTTTTATTGCCTTGAGGTGGCTTTTTGATGAAACAATATTTAAAATCTATATTTTAAAATGATATGTTTAAAATTTTTATGCAAAGAGTAGATGTCAAAAAGATAAAAGGAATACCACTACAAAGCTAATATTTTAAAAAGATAGCTGGTATCTTTCCTTTATTTTTACGTTGCCATATGGCTACATTGTCACATATAGGGTTAATTTTAGCTATATTAATTAAAAAGTTTTTTCTAATAAATTTGTTTCTCTTTATTGTAAAGGTAGCTGAGAATGGATATGGCATTTCATATATTATTTGCGGTGAAAATCTTATTTCATTCCATGTATCATGTAAGAAATCATGTCCGGATACTGTAAGTTATTAATTCATTTTTAATTTATAAAAGTCTTGTTGCATTTAAAAAGTTGAAGAGTTGTATTATAATGTTTTCTAAATTTTAAAAGGTCTGTCATGGTTGTTTCAAATAGATTTTTTCTTTTTTCAACAGAATTCCGAGATGTTTGCAAAATTGATATCTGAAAGCATGCTTGAAATGCTACATTATATATTAGACGATAAAACTAAGCATTAGTTTATTAACGCCATTTTATTTGAATACTATTTATACGACTTAGTATATTCACAAGTATTTATTTGATTATGTTAGTTAAAATAGATTTTTAGAATTTTTCTGGTAGTATTTCGAAATTTTATTATAGATTTCAGTGGATTTTTTTATTTATTCAATGTTCCAAATATCTATAGCATTATTTCTAATTATAATTATTTCGATTTTGCAAGTTAATTATTTTTGTGTTAACATTTACCTTAACTGTTTTTATTTTATATTGATTCATATTTTTTTGTTTTGTTTTGTTTTTGTTTGTATCCAGTTTTATCTCTTTCTTTATGGTTTTTTTCTTTGTTTCTCATGTTTTCTCCGCAATTTATATTGAGTGTTATCATGTTTCTACTTTCATTGTTGTGCATCCAAGTTATGTATTTATACTTTTAGAGTGTATAGTGGGATAACTTTCTTTTACTGTGTATATATCAAATGAAGCTTTTTTATTGTTTTATTATTTTATTTGAATATTAATAAGCTATGTAGTTTTTAAATTTGTTTGTGTGTATATATATATATATATATATATATATATATATATATATATATATATATATATATATATATATATATATATATATATATATATATATATATATATATTTGTTTATCTATAATCAGGCCGGGGTAAGCCATAAGCCATTGCTTAAATCCGAGGAGGGGTCTCGGACTGATGAAGTTTAACAAACATAAACAGGGGGGAAACTGAAGTTCAGCCTTTTGATTTAAAACCATTCGAATGAAAGTTTATATTTGTTTTCATAGTAAATAACAGCACGAGTAAAGTGTGTAAAATTTATTAGATCTGTACATCATTTCTATCATTATGATGAAAAATTTAACATATGCTTCCTATTAATTTATCGTTTAACAGCTTTAACATAACGAACAGCAATTAAAGAAAAATTTCCACAAATTGTTGTATTAAAAACACCGTTTCTTTGGTTGACCTAAGATTTACTTGAGATTATTTATAGAAAAACTACAAGATGTTTTTGTATTATCTTTTTATTTGAATTGCTTGCATTAATTCGTTGAATTTTATGGTAAAAATAAAAGTTGAATCAAATTAAAGAAGGAAATCAGACGGCAGGAGAATATTTTATAAATTTTTTAGTGGGAATCATACTTAATTAGTTTAATCACTCCCTAGTAGTAGTTGTACGTGTACATTCTCTCTATAGTTGTACGTGTACGTTGCACGTATAGTTCGTTGTACGTTACTTTATCTAAATAAATTCTTGCTATGTGTTTATTCACAGACATTTTGTTTTGTTATCATTTGCGCTACCGTGTACGTCTCACCACACTGAAAACATTTTTTTTTTTTTGTGTGTGATGAAGATCAGTTTTAAGTTGGTGTTGGCGTTTCAGGGCTAAGCCTTTGGCGCTTCTGATAAATATAGAGGACCCAATTCTCGTCATCTCTCACAGTGTTATAAGACAGGTTCTAACTTTAACTTTTTGACTCGGGAAAACCCTTTGGTGGAATGATAACCCACACTATGGGAATCACTTGGATATAAGTATCAAAATCAGATTACAACGTCCGGCAAGGTATTTACATTTAAATTTTCATCCCAGTAAACATAAAACGTGCTTTAAACGTTTAATAAATGTATTAATCACGTCTTGTTTTTACTGGATATTTTTTTGATTGCACAAACATGCGAAATGAAAGCAATTTACAACAATATAAACAAACAAAAAAAAAATTATATATTCTTGAAGTTATACAAGTAACAAAATTAAAATATAATTACAAAAATACTGTTCCTTTTACATGGAACAAATTCTAAAAAAATTCATTCTTAAATCTTTTCTCAAGACAACTTTTCACAAGGAATGTTTACTATTGAAGTCAACATCGCAACTTCTTACTATATTCTGGATGATGATTGGGCCTTTTGTACCTTGTGATTGAAAGTTGTGATGGATTGCTTCTATTGCCTGTTCTGAGTAAAGTCCAAAAGTTTGGCTATGTCTGTAAATGAAACCTTTCACGTGGAAAAATACTGCATGGTATTTGGGTATTACACTCACATTTTGCAATGCCAGATAAGACACTCTAAATTCTTCAATTATTTGCGGGTAGTTTGGATTAAGGTTGCATCCAAAACAGCCAGACACTACATTGAATTTTCGAAAAGTATTAATGAATGGGGTGGCTGCATAGCATGAGTGTTTCTCGGCAATTGATTGAAGAATATCAATATTGTGTAGCAGCTTTCTGGGCTCATTTCTTACAAAATGTCCGCCTTGGTAATGTTGTTGTTTAATGCATAATGCATCAGTTGTTTGAACAAAAAGATTATTAAAAACTCCAATTAGGAAATGCAACTCTATGAGAGAAAGGAACTTCAAAACCAAAGTGTCTCCAGGTAGTTTAAATACTGGAGAATGAACAATATCTTTGTAATAGTTTTTTGAAATTCAAATCTGCTTACTTGAGTTTAGACATTTTTTTCCAAAAATTCATAAGTTCTCAATTCCCTTGGTTAACAAGTTCCTTTCAATCATATTCACACCAGGAGCAGGGATGTGCACTTGAGTTTGCTTGAAGCCCACAAATAATATTTGCAAGTTTTAGATCGCAGGAAGCGACAAATTCCTGGACTTTCAAATTAATCTTAAACACATTTCTTGACATTTATAACGAAACGTGCCCGTATGAATTCAAAATAACTAAAAAAAAAACAATAGTGAATCCTTGGATGGATAAAACTCTTATAAAATGTTCAAGAAATAAACAAAAACTTTACAATATATTTTTAAAAAACAGAACTGAAGTTAATGAAAAAAGTTACAAAAAATATAAACGCTTTTACGAAAATCTTCTCAAGAAAGTAAAAAAAAAAAATTTCGTAAAGAAATTACAAAAAACAAATGCGATGTGAAAAAAACATGGGATTTAATTAACGATATAATGGGAAGAAAGAAAATAAATACAGCTATAAAAATGGAAGAAAGAAAATAAATACGGCTAATGGGAAGAAAGAAAATAAATACGGCTAAAATAAAACTGATATTTATTATCCATTACAAATCTCGAATAAGTTAAATAAATACTTTACAAACATTGGCCCTAACTTTGCTAAAAAAATCATAACTGCACCAAATTCTTTTTAAAAATTATCTTAAATCTTTGAATGGCGCGATAATGCAAAATCGTGACTTTTCTCAAGAAGAGTATGAAATTGCTTTTTCTTTTTTAAAAAAGAATAAATCACCTGGTTTCGATGACGTTTCTAGTAATATAGTTATTTCAAACAAAAAATACATTTCCAAACCTTTGTTCCATATTATAAAACTTTCAATAAAAGAAGGAATTTTTCCTGAAGCATTAAAGTTGGCAAAAGTAGGTCCAATTTACAAAAATCATGATCAATCTGAAATCTCTAATTATAGACCTGTATCAGTACTTTTTGTATTTTCAAAAATATTTGAACGTGTAATTTATAATAGAATCTATAACCATTTTAATGAAAATAATATATTTTACTCAAAACAGTTTGGTTTTCGCAAAAAAAATTCAACAGAACACATAATTGAAATAGTAGACCAAATTACTAAAGGATTTAAAAATAATAGCTTCACTCTAGGATTATTTATTGACCTATCAAAAGCATTTGATACGGTTGATCACCTAATTCTTTTGGAAAAAATAAAACACTAGGGAGTGATAAATAAAACCCATGATTGTTTAAAAAGCTACCTCACTGAAAGAAAACAATATGTTGTTAGTAAGAAATTTTTAAAAAAATAAAAATTTTTTTTACGGAGTTCCACATGGGTCAATTCTTGGCCCATTGTTTTACTTGATTTATGTAAATGATTTAAATAATGCATCAGCTAAGCTTAACTCAATAATGTTTGCTGACGACACAAATCTCTTCCTTTCAAACTGTGACATTAATCAACTGTATTCTGACATGAACTCTGAACTAATGAATGTAGATGAATGGTTTAAGGCAAATAAACTTTCACTCGATGTAAATAAAAAAAACAACTTTATTTCATAAAAAATCACAAGATGAAAAACTTCCTTTAAAATTACCTGATTTGATTTTAAATGATTCACTAATTAGTAAAAATGATTCAATAAAATTCTTAGGAATTCTTATTGATGAAAATTTATCATGGCTTCCATATATTAATTATATTCAATCAAAAACTAGTAAAACAATTGGTTTGATGTACCGTATTTGTCCATATGTAACATCAGAAAGTCTAAAACTATTATATTTTGGCCTAATACATTGTCTCATATACTATGCCAATATCACATGGGCTAGTACTCAACCAACAAAACTTAAAAAAATATTTTCTCTACAATAACATGTATGCAGATTTATATATATATATATAAAATATATGAACATGCAAAATCATTAATGGAAGACATGAAAATGATGAATATATATAAAATCAACATTTACCAACACCTAATTTTTATGTATAAATGTGACAACAGCTTAATTCCAAAAAACTTTAATGATAAATTTACAAAAAATGTAAACAAAAAGTATTCTCTTAGAATAAACCAATGGAATACTTATAAATTTCCAAGAATTAATTGTAAGTATTCTGAATATGGAATATCATACCGCGGACCAAAACTATGAAGCACTTTTAAAAAAACAAAAAATTTAAATACTATAAAGTCATTAAATTCCTTTAAGTTTATAATAAAAAATGAAATTTTTAAATTAGATAAATAGTTTTCTTGATTTTTCGAAATGAAAATCGAGTTCCATTATTCTTAGTTTTTTACTTAATTGGCTCTTATTTTTATATTTAACAGAGTTGCCAGTATATTTTATATATATTAATGAGCAGAGTTGCCAGTATATTTTATGAATATTAATATTATATGATATTATTTACTTTCTTGATTTAATGGAAATATTTATGCAAACTTTAACCTTTTTATTATATTGGAGGTCTTGTTTTTTTTTTACTTGTAAAGCCCACCTAGGAGCTCTATGAAAAGATTGTGGTGACTTTAGTCATCCGTATCTTCTTTGAGCCCCTGCCTGTTTTTTAAAAATTCACTTTTTTTGTATGTAAACGTTTCTTTGTAATTATATTTCTTATTATATAAACAGCAAATAAAAAAAGAATTAAAAAAAAAAAAAAATATTTAAACTATAAAAAACTAAATTCATACCTGGTGTTACTGGAAGCATTCTTCCACCATAAGTTTGACTTAATCAAACTGTTCCATGTGTAAAAGGAGCTTTATTTGAAACAATAAGAACTGCAACTCTTTCTGATGCCAAATGACCCTTTGTTGTATCAGCAACACGATTATTTCTCAAAGTGTCTTTTGTCCAGTTGTGAGGCAATCCTCTGCCAATAATTAAAAAACAATCTGAGGATCTTTTTTCTACTGTTGAAGAAGGTGTTCTAGCTGATGAACTTTGTGCAAATTCAATTTTCATATGACCTTTTTTACTCAGTTTTTCAATTGAACA